GAAAAACTATGAAATATGATTGAAATTTGTTATTGTTTCAAAAATATATTAAAATATTAATAAAATATTTGAACACAGTTCTTCTGCATTTTGGACCATTTTTAAATTTGACAAAAATTTCAATTTTTATTCAATAGATAGGTAAGAACCAAATATTCAAATATTTGTACGATGGCAGGCATCATAGAACTTTTCCACATCCTAACGCAATTTGGTGTCCCCTCCCAAATATCAATTAACTCAATTTTAATAAAAAACTGACCACTGTGCAACGATGAACCTTTTGGGCAAAATTTTTCGCTGCCCGCTCGCCGACATCGTCTTTGCTGCTGTTTGCTTATTATGTCTAATTAGATTGCGCTGCTGCTGCCGCTGTTGTTGTTGTTGTTGCTATTGTTGTAATACATAGTTGTAGAAGAATGGTGGAGCTTTGTGGTATGTCTTATTATTGCTTGTTGCTAGCTGGCATTTGACTGGCTTACCATAGCCAAGTTTAAAGTGAGTGAGTTCACAAAGTTGGTTCGGCTCTGCCTGAGCAGCAGCTGATGAAGTAATTGGGTGGGTGGCTGTTGGTGATGCTGGTGATGCTGAGGTTAAATTGGGGTACACGGAGCAACAGGAGTCGATAGCCGAAAGTTCGAGGGCTAATTGGCAGGATCAGGTAGAAAGTTAGCAAATGTCAATTGAAAGTACAGCCGGCAACAACAGTTAGCTGAACATATATTTTGAGATATCACTATGAATGCTCTGTAGCTATAATACATACGAATATATTGCTGTATTCCAAACATCATTTTAGAAGTCTCGAGCTCACCAACAAATTTTCACACTCAGTATCTTATCGAAAGTATTTTGTATTATCTGGGAACGATATGCCTGGCCGATTCCAATCAATTTTCGTAGAGCTTGCGGTTTACTGACATACGGGTAAAGGTTAAAAAGTTGCTTAAGTTTATGTAATATCTGGCAGCATATATACATATACATATATGATAGGCTAATAAGCACCTATTTCGTTTCAATTAGGACATCTAGAAACACTAAACTTGTTTTATCCATATGCAGAGCACGTTTATTAAAATTATTTTATATAACTGCCATGAGACCGATCGATGGAAAATTCACTCTTGGTTGGATAGCTTTTTTTTATAAATATATATTAACTAAAATTTTATTTTTTAAGATTTGTATATATTATCGTATGAAAAAAGATATTCTAAAGTTTCTTTAAAGTCTCTTCACTATAACATATAACTGCCATAGGAATGATCGGTTCCAAAATTTGTTTTAGGACTAAAAAATTAGTTCGCTACTAAGATATCTTTACAACATTTGGTATTTTGGAATTTTTCACAATTTTTATTTAAATCGGCTTACTATATTATACAACCGCAATAGGAACGATCGCTTCTTTGAGTTAAAAACGTTTCTATTTCTTTTGTACCTTAACAAAATTGTGTATTTAAGAGTTTTATCAAAATCGCTAAACTATATCACATAGCTGTCATAAGAATAATTAGTACAGCAAAGAATATTTTGAGGAAGTTTTTTTTTGAGCTGGTACAGCGTATTTTAGAGTTGGGGTTGTTCGACTCTATCCCTCGTTTCTTGCTTTTATTTTAACGTAATTAAGTAGGATGCTATAAATTGTGACCTACTGGGAATAAGTGCTTCAAGTTTTTGTCTTGATAGAACTCTCCCTTAGCTTGAATTTGGTTGCCCGTCCATTCTTTCAAACTTAGGAAGTGTGTCAAGACGTGTACTCGTACGATACTTTAAATACTAATGGCAAATTGAAAACTCATAAAAATTCTCACGTTTTGCTCCAAATTTGTGCACAACTAACTGTTTTTTCTTGCTATGCATAATCAGAGTGAAGTACGAGAACAGAGCGCCATTGAATCTGAGGGGCAGTCCGCCAGTCAGTCAGTCAGGCAGTCAGTCCAGCCATTGAACTTTGCTGCGACGACGATGACGACGACGTCGACGATTCCAACATCGACTTCGAACTCGACGCACACACGATTATGATTTGAAATGTCCATTGAAAAGAGAGAGAAAAATTCAAAGCTAAATCAGCAGTTGGAACGACTTGAAGAGTTGTTCTGTTGCCGGGCGCACAGATTTTTATCATCAAAATTGCCGCCGGCCGCCGGCAGTTGTCCGCAGAGTGGCCAGCCGTCACAGCTTCAGTTTGAAACGCGTTGCGTTGCGCTGCGTATTCGCCAGATAGATTTCGTCGGTTTCCTGTGCGCGTTGCTCAGATGCTGAGCATGTACTTATATGGATGTATGCCACATGTGGTACTTGGCGTCTCAATTTACCCGCCGGCCATGCAAATTTATCAACTGGCCTAGAAACACAAAAACCGGTGGCACTTCGGATACACGGGGCGAGCCCCAAAGCCCCCAAGCCCAACAGCGCCAACGGGTGTGTAACCCAAGCAGCTAAAAGGTACAATGAACTTCGATCAAGCCAATGACGTAGCGAAGCGAAATTCGCGTCCATTTCACGCAATCAGTCAGAGAAGAAAGCAAGACCCTTAATACGAAGCTGAGCGTTGATTTGGACGCGTGTGCTCGGCGGGTGTCTTCATCGAGCCCCTCCAGTCCAGCACGGTCCGAATAAGAAAACACATTTCTCAAATTTTAAATCTTTGGCAACCTTAATCGCTCACGCACGCTAATGAGCACACGCATAAGTTATCCAAATAATAGAAGACATACATACTATACTTACAAGCACTGCCCACATACTTGAGAACCGACAAATAGTGGAGGGAGATAAGTATATAAGCAATACACACATACTGTAGCTGGAATGTTTTAAGACTGTGTAGAAAACAATGTTTAATCTGAAAGCCTAGCAATCAGACTCTTTTGCATCATCAATGCGAGTGCCAAGTGAAAGGCAAGTTTTACTTTCGGACACGCGAATTCGTTTCATTGTTGCAATTACACTGAACGAAATTCTCCCCCAGTTATGATAATTGAACATTATCTTAAATGCATGTTCTTGTAAATTTACGAGTATATTATTTATAATTCAACTTGGTTTATGAAATGTTGCCTATGAAATTTATAGTTTTGATATTTTCGTTATTATCTTATATTTTTTCTCTATAGTCAGTATGTCTAAAGATATTCCACATTTTTGGGTTAACATATTATTTTCGATAAAACCAAAAGCATTTATTCAGTACGCAAAATTGCAATGCTTAAACTTTCGTATATTTTTCAGTAGGTTTTTGGTACTTTTCCTAATCTTTAGAATCAATAAAAAAGCAATTAGAAAGATGAACTCATGAACACTAGATGAAAACTAGTTGGAAAGCGCCAAAGCTAACATTTATTAGCACTTTTGGGTAATTTCATTTTAATTTTATTTTTTATGCTGCGTGCTTCGCCATTTCTATTTCAGTCTGAAATGTATTTGATTTATTTGCACGATAAAGAAATACTTACTATATACTATATGAACACATACATACTTGTATCTAATAAACGCGTTGACATAGTTTTCTGTGCAGTTTTAGAGCAACTCCATTAGCGCTTGACAGGCGTGACTCCGAAACTGTAGAAAGCTGTTAAGCAGCTTACAGAATCTGCGAGATAAAGACAACAAATTAGCGCATTAAATTGCATATAAAAACAAAAAATTTAAATAGATCATGAAAACGCAAGTTAATTAGTGCTAAACTGCGAGTGAAACTAAATAAATTTTATAAACTAAAAGTTGGCCCACATTGAAGTTAATGCGATTTGGAAAAGTTTTTGGCGTTTAACCGAGTAGGGAAGGGCTTCATGAAAAATGTGCAAAGTTTTTTGCAGTTCACGCACTAAATTGTAATTGTTGTTTGCAGGCTTTTAATTTAATGTCTGCCTGCTGACTAATGCTGATGATGTATTGCCCTCCAAAGTCGTTGCACTCGCTGCAAAAACAAACAAACAAATAAATCCCCACAGAGCTTAAATGTAAAACTCGTTCTGAATACTCGATTAAGTATGAACTGTACATATAAATGCTTTAAGCGGAATTAAGTAATAAGAGCTGCATACACGTACATATATCGTATATCGTCGGTTGGGCTCTTGAATGCATACAGAATGCGTTGAAAATAAAAATAGTTCGTTGCGCCATTTATAAATGAATTTCTAGGGTATTCTGTGAAACATTTCCCAAAACGATTATTTCACATTTAAAAGCCAATTTTTCTATTCTACATTTTTGTGCTAAAATATTATTTCCGATGAAACCAAAAGCATTTATTCAGTCCGAAAAAATGCAATATGTAAGCTTGCGTATATTTTTCAGTAGGTTTTTGTACATTTCTTAATCTTTGAAGTGCAATAAATGAAGTGTGTGAAGTGACAGATAAACTGTATGTCGTAATTAAAATTGCAGATAATTAATGGTCTGTGAGAAAACTTAAATAATCAAAGTGCAAATTTTTTTCTGCCGAAAAGCCAATTTATTGAGAATCCTTGAATAAGAAAATGCAAAATACATACAAATTAAAAAAAATATATATGATTTAGTTGTTTATTTTCGTCTCCCTATACATATTTACATAGAAGCTTCTGCAAATGGCTGTGCTGTTTTGGGGCTACTTTCCAAAACATTCCTATCGTAAAATAAGTCTGTTTTCACGTTGTACCGCCCATTAAATGACTAAACTCATATAAGTATTTGTATAATCACGCTCCTATCTAAATAAGCACATTCAAAAGTAAGCATTGTTTAATAAAGATAGCGACACTAAACTGTAAAATTCCGCACCAGATAATAAAATTACGTACATAAAGCAATGCGGCAGCTTTTCATACTTATCGAAGGCATTAGCTTTTACCTTATATAAATATTTTTTCAATACTACCTGTATTTTGAAAAAAATCAACATTCTGGTTTCATAGATACATCACTGGTGGCCATTAGTTTTGAAAAATGTATTAATCATGTTAACCATGAATGAATAAATATGTTCCACAAACGCTCGGGCATAATGTCTAAAATACTTTAATTTTATTTAACATTTCTTTAAATGGAATTCGAAATGTTTTTATTGTTGTAGATAGGGGTGCAACCAATATGTTATAAATTCATTTTTTGGTAAAGAAGCTCATAATGTTGCCTTGCTTCGTTTTTGCGCCGGCTGTGTTTTTGTTGGCTGAGGGCGGACTCTTTTTCTTTGAGGCTGGCGCCGTCTGCGCTGCCGATGCTGGAGAAGCGCGCTTCTTGGCTGGCTGAGCTGCTTTCTTGGGCTTGATGGTGATGACGAAGCCATCCTCATCGAGATACGTTTCGGCTGGGGGCGCCGCGGCATCCTCTTCTGCATCCACATCCATTACTTCAGTATGAGGCTCTGGCTTGGCTTCAATCTCTTTCTCGTTGGCTTTCTTTTGTGGCTGCTCTTCATCGTCGGAGTCCATGATACGACGACGTTTGCTGCTTGAGGTGGAGGCCTTGATATCCTCGGTATCGGATTCATTGTCCGACGCGACGACGGTGCGGCGCAATTTGTCCAACTTTTCTTCCTCATCCGAAGATGGGCTGCTCTCCTCGTCGAAGAGCTGCACTGAGGTGTTGGAGGCGGCTGTTTCTTTTTTGGGGCTCGCCTTTGCCGCCTCACTCGCTGGCTGCTTCTTGAAGAAGTTTTCCATGGTGTTATTGGTCGCTGCTTTAGTGTCCTTGGCTGGCTTTGTCTGTGCTTTGGCAGCTGCTCCTGCTGTGAAGAAACTGCTAATGCTACTCTTCTTGTTGCCGGCCGCTGCTGCTTTTCCTTTCTTTTGCTCCGTAGGCGACTCTTTCTTCTCGTTCTGCTTTCCCTTCTCTGTGGTTTCCATCTTACTGCCATTTGTGGCATTACTATTAGAAGTTGATTCACGCTTCGGCATTGTCGCGTCGGGTGCTTTATGCACTCCATTGCTCATCGCTGGCGTCGGCCTTGCTGTCGTGGCTGCTGCCGCACGTTTCTCCAGCTTGGCCAGCCGCACCTCCAAATGCTGCATGGGCTTAAATATCTGTGCGGGTGCCTTGGAGCCGCCAGCCACTTCCACCGAGTATAGCTGGGACTGTGCATTTTGCAATTTGCGGAGCCATTCCTTCAATTTGCTTTCACCCTGGACAATCGTGTAGACCTCGGTGGGTGCACCTCCATTGCCAGCTGCTTTGTTGCCATGAACAAGAAAGCACTTCTCGTATTTGGTGCCACACTTCAGCTCCTGCTGCTTGATGTGCGCCTCCAGCGTGTCGTTCACCTCCTTGTATGTTAATTTGTATTTCTCCAGCAAATCGGTGACCAGCACACGACTGTCAAAATCGATGAGGCTATCGTCGAGCGCGCGTTGCAGCAACATTTTAAAAGCGTAAGCTGTCGCCAATTTAAAATTCCAATTTATTTAACTTTCTGCGACTCTCTTATGCGGAAAAAGGCGCACAAATGCCGCAAGCACAGCTGTTCGACTGACAGCGGCTGTCACAGCCGCAACGCTGTTAGGTGAATGGCTAAAAGTATTGTAGTGCGACGGCGAACCGCCAGAGGGCGCGCTATGAATGTTAATGTTATGTTAAGCACTGAACGCAATGTAAGCGGGCTGTTAACAGCTGTGACTGTTATTTTGAATTTTTAGAATGTTAAACGCAATTCTATTTTAAAACTTAAAGAATTTTCTTCAACAATACAATCGCGCGATTCAGGAAATAATCAATGTAATTGGGATTAAATATAAAATTTTTTTTTGTTTTTTTTTTCTTGTTTAATCAAAGCATTGATGCCGTGCATTCAGATTAGCACCTTAACAATACATTTTTACAAATATAAAATAGCCCAACCTCGAGCACATCCGCGAGGATTAATAAGTTAGTGGTGGCTTATGCTTATCAAAATGTTTTGAAAAAAAAAAAAATAATAATAATAATAATAATAAATAAAATAAAATAATAATTATACATAAAACGTTGAACGCAATTCTAATTTGAAACCGAAAACACTTCAAAAATACAAATATGCGATTCAAGAAACTAATCAATAAAGAATTGTTTGTGAATAATAATAATTATAGAATAATAATAAAATTCAAAAATAATAAATAAATAAGCTTATATCTCTGATAATAAACTATTAGAATTGAACACATAGCTTGTTAATACATGGAAATATGTATTTAACCCATTATATGGTAATAGTAATACAAGATGTATTTGGTGAGCACCGTTTTAGTTGGCATTGGTTGCCAATTAGTATGTTGAATCTCCAGAAGGCAGAAAAATTTTTATGAAAAAGATTACCTAATTAAACAAATCAAATGGTTACTAATTCAAAACAGAAAAAGAAAAACAAGAATGGAAAGCTTAAGTCGGCAAGGACCAATTGTTACATATCCTGTACCCACAAAAAGTAATTAGATACAAGAGTTCAATTAACCAACTCTTTTCATAATTAATATATTTAAGATCTGCCCCGCCTCCTTCATTTAACACTTAAATGCAAAATATTCTGAAGATATCTTCATAAAAGACTACATTTTCCTACTAAGAGTACTCTTCAAGCCGATCCTACCTATAGCTATAGTACTTTACCAGCTAAAGCTATAGGTTCTTTCTGATAAACTGGATCTGCTTACGATAAAGATAAGTCTACATGCCAAATTTGGTATGCGTAGCCGTAATGGTTAGCTAGCACTCGAGGTTCATACAGTCGAACAGAGAGAATCACCTTGTCATATTAATAGCATATATAACATATCTGAACCTTTCTAAGTAATTATTTTAATCCAATAATTAAATTATTATGAATGCTTTCTTTGCTTGCAGCTTCCTTCGGCCAAATTAAATAAAACAACAGCAGGAAACATGCGTTTCGAGCCCCTGGGCCAGAAAATGTTCACACGCCGTAACTGGCTGCTGCGCTGCAGCATTCTCATCAATGTGGGGGTCATCCTCTACGTTGGCAGTCACGTAATGATCGGTGGCGGCAACAATTTCAGCAGCGGCGGCAGTTTCCTGCTGCAGGAGCAACAGCCAGCGGCTCTCCAGGCTGCCTCACAGCCGCCACAGCCCATTGCGAAAAATGGGAACGAGCTGACGCAGCTAGAGGAGAAAACACAGTCGCCACTGAATGCGGTTGAAAACGAGGCTGCGCCTGTTCCGCCTGCCGATCCAGGCGAGCCGCCAGCTCAGCCGCAACAGATCGAGGATGTGGCAAAAGATCCAGTCGGCGAAATCTTCGATGCCGTACAGGTTCCTAATGCCAATGTGAATGGCAATGGCAACCGAAACGCTGCCAATGTCGAAATGAACAGCACCCAAGCCGATGGCTATATCGTCACTGGCGATGAGAAGGAGCTGGAGGAGCGGGTCCGCGCGCTCCTAAACTGCTACGACCACGAGTACGAACAGCAGACGCTGCAACGCGGCGACTTCTGGGTGCTGGAGAACTACGTTCAGGCCGATCATGGCAAGCTGAAGTGCCATGAGACCATCACATATACCACGCATGCGGATTATACGTTTTTGGATAATCTGGTGCCGTTACTCGAACGGTAAGTTAGAAACAGAATCATATACTTTACCCAAAAAATTACATTGGACTTCAGGCATCCAAAAAAGCTTAACATACCGATAGAAAGTTAAGTCCCAACTCAATATCAGGAAGTAGAAAAGCTAAGCTCAGATGTCCCCAACTTAAAGTAAATAAATTAATTTAAAACATATGCTTATAAATATTTTATAAATAATAGTGTTCCACAAAATTTGACGTTTTCTATATGTTTATTTCGATCTCTATCAGAATCTGAATACGAAATATACGAAATATTTAAAATATACCTGACCTATACCTACGTATAAATCTGACGTTTAGAAAATGAGTCGAAGTTTGTGGATAAATTAATTAGTGCTCGGTTTTTAAAACTTCTTAATGCTTACAGGCAATATAACTTAGTATCATTTATATAGTAGATTTAGTGGCATTTGTAGAAAACGCTTCAAGCTAAGCTTATATTTTATTTATGTAAGATGGGACAGTGAGATTGGATTGATTGAATACCCAAAAGCAGCATCGCCATCACTTCTCGGTAATCATTTGGTTAAAAATAGTTAGTCGACAAGAACTTAGCAGTTGATTGGTACTTAGCAGTTGGTTGTCGAACCAGAGTACGTATACTACATAACCTGATATTAGCCTTAAGTCTATTACGGGTTCTCCATCTACACCGTTCTTGCATTATAGTCCTAATTAATATCTTGGAAAATACACAATAATAAACGTTGCATATCACATTTATGAGAAGTGAGTAAATACAATTGTTAGCTTATTAAGTTTTCATTATGTTAACTAAAAGGTTCAAGCCCTATTTGTTAACAAAAGTTCCCCATAACACCACTTTAATGTGTTGAATTTTGATGTGTAGACTTTTGATGTGTAGACATCTGATGTGTCGACTTTTGATGCCATCTGATGTGTAGACTTTTGATGTGTAGACACCTGATATGTAGACTTCTGGTGTGTAAATCTTTGATGTGTAGACATCTGATGTGTAGACATTTGACGTGAAGACATTCTTTCTCCACCTGCTGGACTGCAGATATTTAAGAGTTTGCTTAATGGCATTCTCAGCTGGATTACCATGAAAAAAAGGCTACTACTTACATATATATTCTAGTATTTTAAATTTCTTATTAGTCCTCGTAGAGAGTTGTCTAATCCTGAATTTTTGGTTTACTCTCAGGTGGAACGCACCTGTTAGCATAGCAATGCATGCGCCCGGCACAGACTTCCAGCCCACATTGGACGCCATCAGATATCTGAGGGACTGCGTGGCTGGCAACAATCTGGTGCGGGCCTTTGCCACCTTTCACGTCTATTTCAGCACCAAGCACATACCCAAGTCTATACCGAAGGCGAAGGATGCGCTCAAGACCGGCTATAACTGCTCGCTGCCGGCGCCATATTTCAACGTCAGTTCGGGCCATTTGTATAAGGCCCAAAAGAAGCTGCTCTATCCGGTGAATGTCGGCCGGAATATAGCGCGAGATGCGGCGCTTACGCACTTCATACTCGCCTCTGACATCGAGCTGTACCCCAATCCGGGTCTGGTGAAGAAATTTCTGGAAATGATTGCACGCAATGAACTGTATTTGCACCGTGCGGCCCCCAGGTGAGTTGAGGAGTTGTTGATTAGGAATGGATGAGTAGGCGGAGCAAGTATATAGCAAGTAAGAAGCAGAAAGTACAAGCGAAGAAGCGTAAGTTCAAGCATTATTGTTTTATGACTAAATACTGCACTAGGAATTCATATTGATAGTGGAAAAGACAGACAATAATCAAAAGTTGCTGCAAATAAACTGTTCTAAGCATCCAATGTTCTCTTTTAGACACAGTTTCAAGACAGGAGTCATAACAACAACCTGCACTTTTCTGGGATTTTGTAGTCTCAATTGGAAGTTTTGATTTGACATTTTAAGAATCACGTTTGATCAGGAAATTAGGTTACTTTCCTCTGCATCGAGAATATTTTTTAAAACAAATTAATAGAGCAAAGCTCTTCTTTCAATAAATGGAAATATTAAACGAATACCAACCGTGAAAATATAATTTTTGATAACATTTAAGTAGCATTATTTGTCAATATAAGAGGTTTTAAAGCTTGGTAGGCTTTGCATAAAGAAGTCAGTCCAATATTAAAAAGGAGTAAAAAGTTTTGAAGTATTACTTAATATGACTTTATGCAGATGTAAGAAAAGTGTCGAGTCAAGCCGACTTTTTACACGAAAAGTATCAACAAGTGCCGTTTTATTTGGAATCGTTTGAACCCAAACTACAGCTTCAAGTAATATCGATTCCTACTAGGTAAGAAGAAACTAGTTGTGAAGTATTGAGTATACAAGTATAACAATGAGAAAAGAAAATAGGGTAGTAGTTATTCGTATTGAAATATTAAATAATAAAAGTTTTTACAAAAGGCTTTCTATCGATAAGTTCTAATGTTTTGAAAGAATCGAGTATACAAGTATAGAAATAAAAAGAGGATACATGATTAGTACTAAGTACTTGCTTGAATGTCTAGTTTTCATTACAAATATATTGAAGTATCCAAGTATTAGTATCAGAAAGCTACTACTTACTAAGAGTATCGTTGCTTCTGTTATGCTGGTATCGTTTGCAGAGTAATACTGCAGAGTATTCATGTCGATACTTCCGTGACAGTTTTTCAGATTAATGAGTACAACTCTTCAGTAACTATGACATCGTTTCCGATCACTCTTCCAGAGTCTTCCCTCTCAGCATTTTCGAGGTGGACGGCAACTCGCCGGTGCCACGCGACAAAACTGAGCTGCAGGAGTTCCTTCGCACCGGCAAGGCGATACCCTTCCATAAAAGAGTTTGCGCCAGCTGCCACGGCGTGCCCAAGTCCAAGGAATGGATGTCGGCCAACGAGACAGACGAACTGAGTGTCTTCCATATAGGGAAGCGCACCGGGTATTATGTGCACTGGGAGCCCATCTATATTGGCACAAATGCCGATCCCCACTACGACGAGCGGTTGAGTTGGGAGGGCAAGAGCGATAAGATGACGCAGGTAAGTGAAATGGGAACCTTTCTTTCTTCCGATTCTACTAATTGATGCCTCTTCTAATTGTAGGGCTATGCGCTGTGTGTGCTGGACTACGAGTTCCATATACTCGATAATGCCTTCCTCGTCCACAAGCCGGGCATTAAGGTGCTGAAGAAGGATAATCGGCGGGCGATGTTGGCGGGCAAAACGAATCAGCTGATACGAAAGATCATCTATCCGGAATTAAAGATCATGTATGGCACGCGCAAGGGCTGTGCGGTATAGTAACTAATCCTGCAGCGGAGTTGAGAACAGACTATGAGTGCGAAAAGACTACAACAAAAACAAAAACAAATACAACAACAAAAACAAAAAGGAAAACCACAACAACAACAACAACAAGAAACTACACTACTACTATTTGCAATGCTGTAGAGAGGGTTACGAAGATCCTATAAAATTGTTTGCCGCATGAATTGGCATTGCAAATGTCTTAAATTTAGTCTAGACTTAGAACTGTTTAGGAATCTTAGTTAGTTAGGTTTAGTAGAGTCAGCTTATAAGTATTAATGGCTGAAATGGCAGTTCAGGGCGGGTTTTCTATTCCACACACTAGTATGCATAAGAATTGAGCCTTAGGTTTTGAGTTCGCGTTTTATAAATATTTAATTGCAACTAAACGAGCACGGCTTAAGTACGTTAAACGTAGTTAGTTGTTGTTTCCGCAAACCCAACTCCACTCCACCTTCCTCCCCATACCACTAGATAGGAAACTTTTCGGATCAGTTCCATTTAGAGTTTTTTGCTTGTTTTACTCATGAGAAGTCAATTGATTTAGCTTTAAGTTACCAATTTAGCTTAAGTTCCCTTAGTTAGCCGAATTCTGCTTAGGCATAAAGTTCATAGTGTTTTTTCATATCTCTGCAGTATTTATTGGAAAATTTATTTATTTCGGTTGTGCAATACTCACCACCCCTGATTGCTTTGAAACATTTCCGGCAGATCAAAGAGCCATCAATGAATTTTGTCTAGAAAGAGAAAGCGTAGCGTGAATGTTTTCTGAATATTTGCTAGAAAAACATCACATTTATAGAGAGAAAATGAAAATAGAAATTGCAAACCAATGTTATGGTCAGACAGGCAAATAATTAGCTCAAAAATAATTCATTGCATTCACTGTTGATTCAACAAAAAGCTTTAAAAATAGTTTTCGATTTTGCACTTTCAAAGTTTGACAAGTTTGTGCCAGTCATAGAACTTGCTCAAAAAACATTTTAAAGAACTTGAAATTCCATATTGATGGATTGAAGCAAACAATTTTTCAAATTTGTTGCCTTTTTGATAAACAAATAATTTATACGAAAATTAACCACCAATTATTAAATGTTAATCGTTTTTGTAATTTGAATTGTTTGATAAGTTTGCTTTTAATTGATCAAATAATTTAATTGCTTAATAAAGTTTTTGTGTTAACTGATTTCCATAGAGTTAGGCCAATAGTTCATGTTTAAATTATTTGCCTCTCAGACAAACAAATAATTTTATATATAAATAATACAAAATTAATATTTCTGGAATTCGACTTTTGAGTCCAAACCTTTTATGAATTCATGTGCAAACTATTTTCTTACTCTCTTAAAAAGCAAAATTTGTCAAGCAACAAATTTAAAATTAATTGATTTAGGTAATTATGGAAAAAGTTAACTTACACAATACTTTAGAAAAGTTTTTTTCAAGCTCACATCTTTGAAATTTAAAGGCAATATGTGCCGGGTTTGTGTGCAAACAGTTTGCCTATCTGACCATAGGGTTTTGAAATAAACCATAATTGAACATTTCAAAGCATAACTCTAGCCCGTAACGCATGCAAATTTTATAAGCAAACTGCAAGATTTACTCAGTTTTACTGCAAAAAGGTAAAATGAGAGAGAAATCTTAATTATATACATATATAGAGAAAACAAGAAAATAAGACGTTTCGATGCGTAAAGCGTAAATGCAAAACCGTGATATTTGTACTAGTAAAGGCGAAGAGGAGTTCAAGCATTAATTATTATTCTAATTGTAATATCTAGATGTAAATGAAAACAAAAAGAAATTGATGATGATGATAAAGATGAAGATGATGATTAAGAAGATGAAACCATATGCATTAAACTAGTTTTGTATATGTTTTTTAGTGTTGAACATTTAAGTCAAACCTGTGCACATATAAATGTTAAAAACATAAACAAATTACAATTACACAAGCATTATTGATGGTAGTTGCAAGCAAAGTGTAATATTATGTGTAAGGCGGCCGGAAAATATATTTCGTAGGCCCTAAAGAGACGACTATGTTTTTATTAGAGAAGCTACTACTGATCCAGCAGTGCGCTTAATTGAGAGAAAGACATGCAAACAAGAAAGTAGGAAAAAACAATTGCGAGAGAAACTAACTTTTTTCTGTCAATTTGAAAAGAAATCGTTTAAAAATATATTTGAACATGACTTGGGAACAACAAAAACAAAAAGAGAAACATATAGAACCACAATTATTGGTGTTTGTATCTATTACATAGATGTCTATGCTAAAACGTAAGAAGCTACGGATTGAAAGTTTGAAGATTCGAAGAGCTGGAAGCTTCTGCGCTGACAAGCCTTTGCTAAACACTTTATTTGTCTTTTATGCGCTCAGCATTTAAATTTTCAATTAGCAAGCAAAGCAACCAAACAAGAAAACTAAACATTAATATTTAAATCAAAAAATATCACTAAACTTAAATTCAATAAAACTGTTGCAGATACGTAGCTAAAAATAGGCTCCAGAAATGTGTTTCCATTGAGAGAGTAAATTGAAAATATATAAGAAATCATAAATATGATAAATTATTAAAGTGCCTTAGACGAGAACATTTTATGAATGAAACCCAAAAAATGAAGTATTTTTGTTTTATATACCAGCGGCAAATACTATTATTGTGTTTCTTTACCTTTTAGTTAATATACTAAGTATATATTAAAACACAGACCGGTGAGCATTCAATTTGTTGCGCATTATTTTTGTATATATATAGAAAAAGACAACATTGTATTTAGTATATGTGTACATATATACATATATAAAAGTTAAGAAGAAACAACAAACATATGCCTATTCACGACTTTCTTATGTGCGAGTAGTTTTGCAAGCGAATGCATTCGATTAGCACTCGATTACTGAATGAGTCTTCTTCACTAGCTAACCTGCCAATATTATGTTTAATAATTGAAACTAATTTGTATTATTTAATTGCCTTAATAATGTACGATGTGCATGCATTAATGTTTAGGCCATAAACAGAACTATTTAAGCGTAAAGCCATAAGTTTCTGTTTGTTTTTATTGAGCGCAGCATTTTCAGTTTTCATTTTTGTTCGTCTTACCATTATCTTGTCAGTTGGCAATTGTATCTGATTTTTGTGAGACTTAGAAGGAAATTGCTGAGCATGTTCTATGGACTATTAGCTGATATATAGTATATATATAAAGAGAAAATGTAAAAAATAAACAAAACACTGAAGTTTAAAGAGAAGACAGTTTCATTTATTTGGGGTGTGACTTAAGTGGTTTTCATTTAATAGACACTTTATCGAAGAATCTATGAAAACCCCCCGATGGCAATGCCAGACCAAGCCCGAGCTATCTTAGGCGTTCAAGGCACGGCTGGCCTTGACTTTAAGACATGTTTGATGCCCGCTGTTGTCAACGAAACTAAAAGTGCGAAAAATGTTAATTTAAAACATGATCTTAACATAAATTAAGTGACAAACAAATATGCGGGCATATAACAATGCTTGGGACATTAAACAAAAGGAACTTGTTGCTTTTGGAAGCGTTGTTTTCTTAGTTTTTACTTTTGGGCGCTGCACTGACTCATCCAAAACGCAGATGGGATGAGCTTGAAACGAGCTTTTAAATTTATGCCGCTAGGCGTTCAACTTGATTGGCATCTTTGCTAGAAGCTGCGAGCTGCGAGCTGCCATTGTTGTTGTGGGTTATTTATTAACATGTTTGCTTTTATTGCAGCAGCAAAAGCTGTCGCAACCACGTAACTAGAAGAAGATCAACAGCAACAACGTCAACACAACGTGTGGCTCATCCGCGACGTCGCCGCAGCCACTTGCCATTTTTTTTTTTTTTGTTTTTTTTTTCAGACACATATTGCCGTCCGTTAAGATCGGCAACACGTTTCTAGCACACACAGTCGAAATTGTCAGCTCGCGCGCTCAACATCGCGCCCGCATATCGCAGTAAACGTAACGTACCGTCAGAGTATCTAGCGCGTAAGGACTCCAACTTTTGAAAGGATACATCCACATAGCCATGGCTAAAATTATAATCAGTGCTCTAGTGTGTTTGGCCATGTTTGGCTCCTTGGGTTAGTATATTGCATGAACATTTTTATGTGAAAACGAAAGACTTAGGCAACGAACTTGGAATAATCATTACACATTAATTGAGTTAATGGTTGTGGGTACATTTTAGATACATATATATATCGAATTATTGTGGCATGTGAAAGTGTGTTTCAAGTGGAATTTTAAAATATTTGATGTGTTTAATACTCTCTCAAGCACAAATTAAACATTTTAATAGACTTTGCTGCAAAGTTTTCAGATTTTTAAAATGAACAATTTGTTGCAACTATATGAAAGAATTAAGACTTAAAGAGTTTTAAACAAAGTTTGTTCTACTTCCCATTTAAGAACTGTATATTAATGTTTTTAATAACTGTTCCTGTTACTGTTGGAGTCTGAAAAAAAAATTATTAAATTTTATATGAAGAATTTAAAAGACTTTTTAGAACCGTTACCCTTGACAAATTTTTCGGTTTTATTTGACTACGAAAAATATTACCTTCATGCAAAAAAGCAGAGTTTAGAATAATATGTTTTCATTGGAAATATGAATATGTGCATATTTACAAGGACATTATGATTAAAATTACATTATATTTAATATATTATTTTATTTTTTTGTATTACTTTACAATTTTGTTAAGCTAAAAAAGAATACCCTATTTTAAACGTACGAGTATGAAGAGAAAAACAGTATTTATTAACAAAATAAAAGACTGTGTAGGATTTTTAAAATAAAACATGTTCTGCTGATTTTAGAATTATGAATTTATTAGACTTCTTAGAAAAATAGGTTCCTATTAGTAAAATAAAAGACTTCATAAAAGTTTCTACAATTTTTAAATAATACGCTTTTTTTGAAAAAAAAACTAAGTACTTTAATTTTTAGAAAAAGTAAATTTTCCTGAAATACACGAAATCCACCAAAAGTCCACTAATTAGAGAACTTTAGTTATGAAAATTAAAGTTTTTTAATTTATTTTTTTTTTATTATTAAATTAGCACATTGCGTCTCAACAATGTAAATTATCGGTTGCACATTTTTGATGGCGTAGAGCGAGGAATTCGAATTTTAAGCAAATAAATGTTATTTGTCACATTTAATCATTTTATTTTCGATATGTTTTATTTTAAAAATTTTACAATATGCAGTGCTGTTGGAATTTTTGCACTTTATTTATTTAGACGTCATACAAAAATGTGCTAAAATGTTCAAAACGGTCATAAAAATGACTAATGCGTAAAAAAAGCATTGGGATGAATAAATTGCAGTCGAAAATTATCTCTCTACGTGGCCAAGTGCTAATTTTTTCAAATTCAATTAATTTTGAACAAATTTAAAAACATTAATTTTATATACATTTCTAAGAATTAACAGACTGACTAATAAAGTTCCAAATAAAGTGGAGCGACCAGATAGGCTTCAATTTGTGTCTTTTTCCTTAAATATTTATTTAAGCTAAGATGGAGGCTTACAGAAGCTATAAAAAGTTGCCTTGACTTGCTTGGAAATGTCTTTGGATTGTGGTTTTGTTTGAACCTGTTTTTGGACATTTCGAATAAAATGTGTTAGCCGCGTCCGCGCTTAGCTAAAAATATGACTTAAGCTGAGATAATTCAAACGTAATCTCGAAAAGGCGATACACTTGCTTTAAATAAAAATAAAACCCACATACCTAACAAAAAGTACCTAAACAAATTGGATTAGGCATTGGCCATTGGGATGTCCACATAGTAACAAAAAACGTCTTTGGGTATTGAACATCAGTGTGGAGAGCGATTAACTAAATCAATTTAATAAAATTATAAATTAAGTATATTAATACGCTTATCAATAAATAAACATAAAAACCACGAATAGGTCGCTTTGATTTTGGCTTGAAATCTTAGAAGCTATTTTAAAAAAATAATTAGTTTAATTATAAAATAAAATATCACAAAGATATCGACTGTTGTTGTATACAATTTCGTTTTGTTTTCTGTCCAAAATATTCTTCAACGATTAATAAAAACAAATTACTCTAAAGCTGATGGATTTTATAATGATAATTACATTTTTTTTTAATTTTGCAAAATCTAGTAGGTTCCAAAACTAAAAAAATTTTCCTCAGAAATAGGAAATATATTTCGAATTTAAATAATTGCAGTTCTGGTTTTTACCTGCCGAAATTAAAGTTAATTATTTTAAATTGTGGATAGCTAATTAAATGCTACGCGGGGCTAAAACAGCCTTCGTGTTAGAATATTATTAAAATTAACGTTTCGTTACTCTTGAAAATCTTTCAGTGTGCTTAAAAGTGATTATTAAACGAATGTCACTGCAAATTGACTGCCAATTAAATTGAAGTGACTTTATTTCCGCACACGACCCATCAAATATTTCATTCATTATTGTTTCGCCTAGAGGCGAAGCTAAAATTGCGTTAAATTTTGAATGAAACCCCACAAAGGTGAACGACAACAACATTTTCACATAACAACGAGTATTTTGCAAAATCTCAAATTACACACAATGATGATAAATCAGCTGATTAAGCAGCGTCATCGTGCAATTAAGCAACTACTCAGGGGTGCAAGCAAGCCAGCAAACCAACAAACAATCAGACAAACAGACAAACGAATGCAAATGAAAACCCAAAGAAAAGTTGCCCAACAATTATAGGAAATTGAGTGCAAAAAAATTAACAAATAATTGCAAATAATTAGCGCACAATCGAAAGACTTAGGCAACGAACTGCTACTGCTGTGCTTGCCTGAAAGTTAAGCCGAAATTATTTAAACAGTTAATGCATTCAAATGTGTGTAGAGGCGCAGCATTTCAAGGTCGACTGGCAGCTTCATCTTCAAAACCAATTCACACGCCGCCAGCTAAAGCCGCAGCAGAAGACGTTAAATATTATGTATAAAAAATCAATATTACATAAGCTTTGGCTTGCGGCCGTTGTGTTTGTTGTTGTTGTTGTTGACTGATATGCCCAGAAACTAGTTTTGAATCGGCCAGCAGCGAGTTAAACGCTTCATTGCGTGCTCGGCCGTTCGTTGTGACCTTTAAGTGTTTTGCATTCAGCTATGCAGTCGTTTATTCAATCGCTTCTTCTTCTCATTTTTTCATACACTTTATTTCGTTTTGGGACACCTTCCTCATCAGCCAAATCAAATGATCATTTATATTGGTTTAGCCGACCATATGTGGCGCACAAAATGAAAGGAAATTATTCTCGAAATGCCATTCGAAAACTTTAAATTGCACCGAAATTCCAACGCACAGTGCACAGTGGTGCATGGCGCAGAAATGCCAATTAATAGAGCAGTGGTTTGCGGCTTATTTTTAAGGAGCTTGAAGAGTGTAACTTTTCATGATTTTTTGAAGCAAATATTTATAGAATTCAGCATACATAGATAGTATACAATTTTGAAATAAGTTCCCCGTCTGTAAAATAAAACACTCGATACACAATAGTATTGTGATTGATTCTTTATTCAACAAATGATCTAAAGTGTTCCCTCCGACTTTGCAGTGGATAGTTCTTGGGTAAATTTGTTCCCAGAAGGAAAAATGGTAAATCTTAAAGCTTCCGCTTTTAAACTTTGTACTAAGGCCTACTTTTGACGCACACTGATAATATGTTGTGACAAACCATGTCAGATCACTATAACATATAGCCATCATAGAAACGTAGTGATGTCAAATGGTTTTTGTTTCAAAAAACTTGTTTGTTTCTTAAGATATGGAAGCCAAATTGCGTCACGTGTGACTACGAATGACCAAATGCCAAATAGGTAAAAGAAAAGTTTCTGGCAGTTTTGCTGTAAAGCGTATATAGCTTGGGGTATATTTCTAAATAAGTTTATGGTATATCGTTAAACTTAAAAATTGCACAATGAGGATACATAACTACCAGACAAGTAAAGAACAGCTTTTTCATCTTTTGTGAACAAGTTGCCTAGAATTTGTAAAGTGCTGCTAACAATGTCCACAATCCCGCTAACCTTTTTATACAAATAAGAAACAAATATTCTTACAATGTTAATAAATACACTCTTTGTAGATGAATCATTTTTTATTAAAGTAGGGTTGCAAAAAAATTTCGTCTGTCAGAGGAAGGAGATAGGGAAAGTTTTTGCTTGTTACTTGATAAAGAGATGGTTTCTATGGGCTTGAGAGAGCTCATAATGTTTCTAGTTTAAAATTGTATTGCATTCCAGGCGTGCTGGATATACGTGTTTCTGAAAAATATATTCCGGAAATTCAAGTATTTTACCGATTTTTTGCAGCTTAATTTTTTTGGTGTTGTACCCGTATTGTACCGGTATTGCATTGTTTATTTAATTGCATTGCTTATTTAAGAACTACAGTCTTGAAAGCATTCCTTCATAAGTATGAACACTACAAGTGTTTTTTGAATTAAAAAGTTCAATTAAATTTGTTAAAGCTTCAGTAATAATAGGCTAACAAATAATTAGTTATAAGCCTAAAGAAGGCAGAGTGGTCTTCGTATAACAAGATACCTTTTGGCAGCCTTTGGAATTCCACTGTGCATTGCCGGGTTCAACAAACGGGGTGTGTGGGACTCTGAAACTCATTAAAATTTCAAATGCCACAAAGAAAGCCGCTCACCAAAATCAAAAAAAAAAAAAAAACATACATTACAGATAGAGAGAGAAAGAGATAAAGAAATAAATAATTGCTATGCTGTGCATGCCACTTTTTTCGCCACACCACGGCCTGTCATGTTAATTGAGAGAAGTATTGTTATTTTGAATGAATTAAAGTGCGCGCCATCCATCCATTAGACCATTAGAGGTAAGAGAGATAGAGCCCTTCCACAACCCGACCCTACTAACCCCAATCCCAACTCTGTCGCCTCTCCTCGTTCCAGCCCATGCTGCCGGCTCGTGTCGCGAGGCGAACGGCACCGCTCCCGTCTCCGGCTCCTGCGACGCCTACATTGAGTGCAAGAACGGCGTGGCCGAGGAGAAGCTCTGTCCCGACGGCCTGCTCTACAATGAGAAGTCGACTGGCTACCCCTGCGGCTATCCCATCGATGTGGAGTGCGCGCAGCCGACGGCCCGCTTACAGGCCGCCCAGCCCACCGACGACTGTCCCCACCAATTCGGCTACTACCGCATGGGGGATGCGAGCCATTGTGGCCAATTTATGAATTGTGCGGCCGGTCGCGGCTTTGTCTTCGACTGTCCCGAGGGCTTGGCCTGGAATCCGGCCACCTATAAGTGCGATTGGCCCGATCAAGTTGAAGATTGCGATGCAGAGGCTTTTCTGGGCTTCCGTTGCCCACCCTTGGCGCCCAAATCGGATCTGCTGGGCGAACAGGCGGAGGACTATACCTTCCACCCATCGCAGGACAATTGCCAGGTGTACTTCATCTGCATTGAGGGACGTCCGCGTCGCATTAGCTGCGGCGAGGATCAGGCCTTCAATCAGGAGCTGAATCAGTGCGATGATATCGACAATGTCGCCAACTGTAGTCCGGATATTAGGGCCAAGGGCGCTGAGATAAAGGCGGCCCGTAAATCGGCGGCTGAAGCGAGAAAACTGCAGCGCTCTGGTTAAAGCATTCGACTAGAGAGATTTATCAGATTTATATTACTTAATTCCATGCAAACTATGATTCAAACATATAGTTGCTCGAGTTTTCTAGTCTGTAGTTAAAAGCCGCTTACAAATAATTTGTTTATTGTAAGTCGATTGTCACAATAAATGCCATCAAACGAATCGCTGATTGTTTAATGTTCAAGTTTGTGTCCTGAGTCTTTCGTTTTAGCCACAACTATCTCATGGCCCAGCATTTACTAAAGTTCCCCCTCCATTCCGCATCTCTTGCAGCTCTTGGCTCGCCCGAATGCCCCACACCCAACGGCCGCTTTGCCTCCGGCGACCAATGTGATGCCTACACCGAGTGCCAGGACGATGTGCCCATTCCCAAGCTCTGTCCCGACGGTCTGCTCTTCCATCAGCGCACCAAGTCCACCGGCGAGTGCACCTATGCGCCCTACTCCAGCTGCAAGGAGCGCGCACGCCTGCAGCCCGCCAACGGCACCGATGAGTGTCCTCGCCAGTTCGGCTTCTATCCCAATGGCGATGACACCAAGTGTGGAGTTTACCGAAACTGCGCCCATGGAGTGGCCAGTCTGACCAAATGCCCCGAGGGTCTGGCCTTCAATGAAGAGAGCTATCAGTGCGACTGGCCCGATCTAGTCCCCGCCTGCAACGCCGAGGCCTATCTCGGCTTCAACTGCCCCGCCCCCGAGCCCGTCGATGGCATTGCTCCCGAGGTGGATGTCAGTCCGGAGGGCGAACTCCGCTACTATCGCCATCCCCAGACCTGCAAGAAGTACTTCGTCTGCGTCAACGGACATCCCCGTCTCTACAACTGCGGCAAGTATTTGGCCTTCAATGCCCAGAGCAAGCTCTGCGACTTCTACAACCGGGTACCCGAGTGCTACGAGCTCCTCAAGGCGAAGCAGAAGGCAAAGGCCGAGCGACAGACTCCATCAGCCGCAGCTCGACAGCCCTCAGAGTAGGGCACTGGAGCTATCGCCGATCTATGTTCAATTAGAAGTAGTTGTAAATAGCATATGATTCGATATATGTACATATGTACTATAAGCTTGCACTTGTGTGTAGTTTTTTTAACATTAAATAAACGCATTCTTACACCCTACGAATAGTACAATTATATACAAAAATCGTTCATCTGCTTAACCAACTCTAGGCTATAGATCGTCTAAGAATAAATCCAGGGAAGTAATATCAAAAACGTACACACTACCATCGAAACTGCGAAAAGCTAAAGTACTTTCAAATAACTTTTAAATGTATTTTTTATTGTTGTTGTGCCGGCTTTTAGATACAGAGTTCCAATCTGTCATATAGTGCCTTCTGAAAACTAAAAACTATATTCTCAACAAACAATTTTAGACATGAACAAATATTTTTTGAAAATTTTAATACAATTATTGAGGTAAAATACCAATTATCTCTAAATAACTATTCATAGAAATGCCTTCTCGTTGGAACGATGTATGGTGTTGAAAAGCTGTTGAAATAAATCGCCCTTGGATTTGGATTGGATTTCAAGTATTTGTTAGTTCATGCGTCTCTTTCTTAGCTGCGATAGCTTCCGGAACAACCTCATCATTATCAGACGGGCTGCTGAAGGGCTCGTCCAGTCTGATCTTCTTCGAAGTCGTCGTCACTCTAAGCATCAAATGGATCCTCTATACGTTTTAGACGCCAACTAAATTATCCATCTAATTGAATCATAATTTATCAGACTTACGTGCTTGCTCATGGTACTTCAAAAGGGAAAGTCTGGAAAACAAATTCAGTTCCTCATGCCCCTCTCTTCCTGGGATCCAGCTATTATTGTTTTCCAATTTGCATGCATAGGGCTTTGCATCTCCGAGGTTTATGTGGGATTGCAGAAAGCTGAGCTTGGAGAACCAATATGGTTGAATACTATTGTCCGATTTCCTCAGCTTCATCGCACACTGGCACCGCAGACAGTGCAGTTGCGTCCTTGCTCCATTCGCCGCTAATTCCGGAAGCTTTTGTTGTAGGACCGATGTGATGGAGGCCATGTTTCATTACGTGGATATTTGTATAAAAATCATGTTACAACAATTTCAGAAATCTGTTAAAGTTGTACAATTGCTTAATAATCAAAGCCTCACCTTTGTTATTGCTTATTCAAATCATTTCACTTATTTTTCGTCAAATTCAACAAACTCATTACAAAAATCTGGCACAGGTTATGCTTTTGGAGTCAGCTGTTCTTTAAAAACATTAACACTTACTCGATGCTTGACTAACACGTATCGATAATTTTGTAACGATTATTAATTCCGTGACTTGTGACTTCCGCTACTTGGTCACCCGCCAATTCAAATAATTGTTCTTTGTTTCGCAAATAAACAACAAATACAGGTATACAACACAAAAACTAACAAAATATTAAAATTCCATTTTGTACAAGTATTTCTCTAAAAATATACAACACTTAACATACTAAGTTACTAAAAATGAAAATGGGGGATGCATCAGAAAAAAAACACAAACTCGTCCTATCTCGGACTTACTTGTAGGAGAATCTGGATGCCTAGTTTGATTATTCTAAGCCTTATACTTGCTGAGCTCCTCACGATAGGTTAAATATGAGGAAAGTATGGATATCATAAATAGCTGTTGTTGTTGCTGCTTCGACTTATTCTTGTACTGCATACATACACGCATAGACACCATGATGGAAATGTATGCGTTTGAAACATACACTGGTCGGCACAATTATTTTGACGAACTGTACTCACGACTATCGGTGCTGGTTGCTTTTAGTTTCAAGGAATAACGGTACAATTTTCATACGGGATATAGAGTTCATAGCAACAACAATATGTAGGCAAAATATTTTGCCTATTACTCTTCACACCTTCTTTCTACAAATGACAATGTGAGTTGACTGCGGATTCAGGCACGGCATAAGTATTTTGACCAAATCTTTGTCGCCGTTTTCGCGTACGTTTTATCAAGTGATACTAAAATAACTTTGGTGTAACAATTTTTGTTGACCTTTTTACATTATTTTCATTAAAATTTGATTCAAAAGTAATCGATACAATGGTAAAAAAGACAGAATTAAGTTATGTTGTTAGAGCCTCAATAGTGGCGAAGTTTAATGCCGGCGTAGCACCAAAAGACATTGCAAATGAATATAATTTGTCGCGGCAAACAGTCCACTATCAAATTAACAAATATAAGACCCACAATCACGTCAAAAACTTGCCTAGATCAGGTGCTAACCGCAAAACAACACCCATTGAAGATCGAGTCCTATTGCGGGAATTTAAAAAAAATATTCATTTAAAGCCGCAAGCTGCTGCAGATCAATGGAATAAGTCGACCAAGACTCCAATCAGTGAGCGTACTGTTCGGCGACGCCTAAAAGAAGTAGATTTTAAGACATACAAAGCGAAGGACATACCTTACATATCAAAGGTGAACAAGCTCAAAAGATTGGCTTTTGCAAAGGAGCATCTGCATAAGCCAAAAGAGTTTTGGAGAAGCGTTCTATGGACAGATGAAAGCTCCTTTGAATACAATTCATCAAAAACAAAGATTTTTGTAAGGCTCCCACAGTTTCAAAGACAAAAAAATATCCCCGTATGTCAAAAAGTGAGCCATGGCGGAGGCTCAGTCATGTTCTGGGGATGCATTGCGTACAATGGGTTAGGTGATTTCGTTCCCATCACCGGCTCAATGAACCAGCAACAATATTTGAGTACCCTTAACGAAAACGCATTCCCTTCCGGTGACAGGCTGATTGGAGAATCATTTATCCTGCAACAGGATAACGCCCCATGCCACAAAAGCAAAATGATAAGAGCATTTTTAACCGATGTTGGTGTTACTACTCTGGATTGGCCACCACAAAGTCCGGACTTAAACGTTATTGAGAATGTGTGGTCTCTTGTAAAACGTAAAAGAAATGCGTCTTTGCATAAAACCGAAGAAGAAACTATTTCCGAGGTCACTTCTCTTTGGAAAGAGATACCATTAGAGGTCCTTCAAAATTTAGTGGACTCAGTTCCAAGACGTCTTCAAAAAGTTATCGAAGCCAAAGGCGGGTATACATTTTATTAATCTACCATCAATTTCTTATGTTTTGTTTAGTATTAAGCTTTGTTTTTTTTGTTAATATCCATTGTCAAAATACTTATGCCAACCCATGAAAATTACCTTGATTTATAATTTTAAAAGTCCTTATAAAAATATATCCTTTGAATTATTTTTAAGTTTGTAATACCAATATGGAATTGAGAAAAAAAATTTCCTTTGATATCTTAAACCAATAACCAGTTATTGACAAAAATGTATGATTTTCTTCTCGTCAAAATAATTGTGCCGACCAGTGTACATTTACATGCACACATTCGTGTGCATTGAAATTTATTTATTTAATTAACTAACTTAATTTCTTTTTTTTAAATATATATTTTTTTAATTTTCGTTTTTTGTAGAGAGTACAGCGTATTTTACTGTTGGCCTTCTCTCTTTTTTATTTGATTCAAACATTCAATAGTTTAAGTTAATGACTTCATAGAAAGACTACTTGTATATGGACAACAAGATAAGATTACGCTAATTGGGTCTTGCTTATCGGTATGTATATGTAATCCACATTTGTCGATTAAATAGTTCCGGAAACAATTAAATTAATGGACTTGAGGCTTCTGCACATGTTTGGTTGATAGCTTGACATTAGCTTTAGATTGTCCAAGATTACTGGACGGATATGAACCAATCTGGGACAGAAAAGATACTTTCTTTTGACCCCGATACATATAAATAAGTTTTTTTTATAGCCTGTACTCAAAGGGTGAAAGGCTATACTAGTTGTGTGAGAATGTATGTAACACACAGAAGGAGGCATGGCAGACCCCACAAAGTATATATATTATTGATCAGGGTGACAAGACGAGTCGTTATAGCCAAGCCCGTCTGTCTGTCCGTCCTTCCGTTTGTGGGCTGGTACAGGGTATTTAATAATTGAGCCAGCTCGAGCCAACCGATAAAAAAATTTAAATTGTGTCAATGTTATAGTGGCGCACCATGATCTGGAACTTTATCAAATTTATTGCATGATATAGCTGTCATAAACAAAGTTGATTGACTTCCCGAGAATAATTTTGTGTTGATATCTTGACATTAGTTGCCGTATAAAAGCCCAATTCAATTTCAAAGAATTGGATAACTACATATTTGCTATAATTAAGTAAAAATACTTGTTTCATTTCGCCAAACTTTTTTATGAGTCAAAGGAAACCGGGTATTTATTGAAGTTGTCGCACCTAGCGAGGTAAAATTATAATTTGAAAAATTAGAAATGAAAGCATTTTTATGAGGAAGTAAATTTAATTTTTAATGGAAAATGTTTTTTTTTATTATAATATCTGTTTTTGCCTGCACCCTTTTCTGAATAAAAGTTTTAATAACAGCAGTCTCACGAAGCTTCATATGAAATATAATGTCTTTTATCTATCTTTTATAGAGTTTAGGTGCATCGAAAAAACTCAACTTCTGTGTGTTACATGTATACTCTCGCACGGAACTAATATACTCTTTTAGCCTTCGGGTACAGGGTATAAAAATATATCGGTTATTGCTATTAATGTCTAATTCTTTATATAATCCAAAATAAGTTGATTAGTTCGTTAACTATTTTACCAAGGTCCATAATATTTTTCTGGTTTTTTTCTTTACCAAACAACTACTGATACAGTACGCGGGCTATTTGTTTCGCAGACAAAACGTAAAGCATAACTGCAATCTAAATCATTCATTAAAAGGTTGATATCCCACATGTGGACACAATGTTCTTTGCCACCTTGATTATCAGGTTGATTTGGATGCCAATTTAAAAATGTGGCGTTTAGGCCTGTGGTAGTCGAAACATAATTGCCGCTCTGCCCTAGATCTGTTATATCCGTCCAGTAATGAAAAACGTTCAAATGCTGTTTAATGGCCTCATGCTCCTCCTCGGACTCCAAATGCAACAAATGACCACCCAGTTGGCGACATTTATGGTCTGCGTTGAACCAATTCAGCCTAACGCTTTCTTCAATAAAGTAGTACTTGGAGCCGATTTTCTTAAATGGTGTAATATCCACTGGAATTTCCTTCGGTATGCCGTCAATTTCGTGGACTTGCGTTCTGGGGACCACATTGGCAGCTAAGAACAAGTTGGTTCGGTAATTTTTGAAATGTTCAAGTAAATATTACCTGTCAAATGGGAGAGAATGCCGCACACGACTAATATTGTTATTGGACTACACATTTTCCGGATCTTCTCTAGAGTAAGTTGTTAAAACAATGAATGCAATTTTGCTATATGCGGACTTTTATAGCAATGTCCGCTAATAACTATATACATACATATGTATTTCTCAAGTAGGTTGATTAGATTGTTTGAATGCACTAACGTCCGGAACTCAGCCATCGACAAATTGAAAGATTCTTATGAAATAACAACGATCCACTTACCCTTTATCTTATCGCGATGTCTAAATCATTAAGAACAAGTAAAAAAGCTAAAGTCGGGTGTCCCGACTTTGAAATACTCTGTACATATGTTTACAATAATTATAGAAAATATATTTATGGCTATAACTTCTTGTTAAATCGGTCTATCATAGTGAAACTTGACATACGGACACATAATAACCAACTGGGGGTATTTCCATTTTTAATTTTAGTTCGAAATTCCAAGAATTACGGGAGTTAGAGAAAATATACTTCTGTACATTTCATGTACAGAGTATAAAAAGTGGATTGGAAATAACTTTTTATTTATTTTATTTATTTATAATGAAATTGCCAGCACTTACAAAGTGCGGACAATTTATGGTTTGTGTTAAGCAATAGCTGCGATGGCCTTCTGCTTACATTCTTTGTTGTAATATAGTAAGTAACAATATTGATTTAACATTTGATATTATGACTTAAATAGGTGATATTTATTAGCTATTGTATATGCAAGGCAACGAGTATACAAATATATAGGTCTACAGATTCTAGTTACTAATTAAGATTCTACTTATATGCTGTTGTAAAGGTTTATGGATTTAAGACATTGGATTGTTGTGACTATGTTTTTGGGATCTACTATTTCTTCTAGGGTTTTTTGGAGGAATTTCTGTCTGTGCTCAACATAAAGAGGACATTCTAGGAATATGTGGGATAGTGTTAGGTTATGATTGCATTGTTGGCATGTAGGATGGGGTGTTTTGTCAAATAGGTGGCTGTGTGTTAGTTTAGTGTGCCCGATTCGAAGTCTCATAAATTTAATGGTGTCCATTCGAGAGATTGTTGTGTTTAGCGATACAATATGGTTCTGCTTTTTTGAGTTAATAAGTTTGTAATGTGGAGATGTGTTGTTCCAGATACTATCGTATTGGGTTTTCATGTGTTTACTGATGTATTTAAGTGTATCTGATATGTTGAGGTTTCTTTCTAATATTAATGGTAATGTGAGTGCTTGCTTAGCTGCTTGGTCTGCAAGTTCGTTTCCAATAATGCCGCAGTGTCCTGGGACCCATATCAGAGTGAATTTGTGTTTGTATTTTAAAATGATTTTCCTAATTTCTAATGTGTAGTAGTTATAGTTGTTTAAGTTTTCTAGGGCTGTAAGGGCTGAGAGTGAGTCGGTGCATACGGCAAATTTTCCTTTTTGTTTTTCCGCATATCTGCATGCGTAGAGAATTGCTGCTATTTCAGCAGTGAAAATGGAGGAATAAGATGGGAGTATCTGCTGGGTTATGATGTGTTCTGTGGAGGTTACACTGTAGGCTACTCCGGTATCGGACTTTGAGCCGTCTGTATATAGGAACGTGTGTTGTTTGAGGGTATCTTTAATTTATAGGAAGAGTTGGGAGTAAACAATCGGTGGTGTGTTGGGTTTTGATGAGGTGTGAAGGGATTTATTTATCCTAGAAAAGTTAAATGACCACGGTGGGGTGGTTTCTTTTTTATTTATTATGGGTACAGGCTGTAGCAGTATCATTTTACAGTTTTCAATGGTATTCTTTATTGTTGATGACAATTTTGGGACCCGCTTCGCTTTCGAAATTTTTTTACAAATGTGTTCTAGTGGAGTATTTTTTGCTGAGGATATAATTTTAAAGTTTTTTAATATAGCGTGTTGGGTTCTGTGTTCTATTGGCCTAATGTTAAATTCGTATATTAGATTGTTTATTGGTGAGGAGCGAAAGGCACCGAGGGTCATTCTAACAGCTGAGTGGTATATGGTTTTTAATTTGTTAATTTTTGATTTGGGAGCTCTTCCGTATAGGAATAACCCATAGTCAATTTTTGACATGATTATTGAGTTTATTACATAAAGAATGGTTTTCATGTGGCAGTTAAAACTAGTACTGCAGAGGCATTTAATAATGTTTACCCTTTTAGCTAATTGTATTACTAATTCTTCTATGTGTGCATCCCATTTATATTTATTAGTTATAGTAATGCCTAGTATTTTTAATGATTTTTCATTTTTTAAGTTGAGATCGCTAAGTATTCTAAAGTTGAATTTTTTTTTTCGACAGATGTTTTGATTTTGGCATGGAGAGACTGGCTCCAGAGTAATTGCACCATTTTTGGATGTCTGAGATTAGTGGGTTTATGTTTAAGGTTGTATCTATCTTTTTGTGTCTTTTTATTATTGTATAATCCTCTGCGTATGCAGTAAATTCGAATAATTTATGTAGACCTATGGTTTTATTAAGTTTATTATAGGCGATTGCAAAAAGGATTACCGATAGTGGTGATCCTTGTGGGATTCCATTTTCTAGTGGCAAGGGTTGGGATTGTATGTTTTGAGTCTGGACACAAATTTTTCGGTTGGTTAAAAAGTTTATTATGTAATTTATCATTTTTGGTCCTAATTTCCAGTCAACGAGCTCGTCGATTATTGTATGTATTCCGATTTTGTCAAATGCCTTTGAGAAGTCTAGTGAAATGATAGAAAGGTGGCTCTTTCTGGATAGGGTAGTGGTAGTCAGGTAGTCTAGCATTGCTAGAGAATCTGATACCGATTTTCCCTTTCTAAATCCCATTTGACGACTATCGAGTAGCTGGCTGTTATTAACTAGCCACCATAGTCGTTTGGATATGATTTTATTTAGACATTTATTTATTTATAAAAAATCAACAAATTTACTGTCAATAAGTACTTGGTAATATTAGAAAGTAAAATAAAGATATTTATAGTATTACAATATAAGTTAAACTTAAAAGATAAGAAAGCCTAAGGGAGAGCTATACAATGACGTCTATTAATGCCTCCGACACGTTGGGGGAATTTTATTTGCCAGTTGGCCAGCTATGCCCCGATTCACAGCCAAATGTGGTCAGAGACATTATGGACCTAACAAACTAAACAAATAGCAAGTAGAAGAGAAGAATTAATTCTACTTAAGAACTAATTAGAAAAAGTAAGGTGTAGAAAGAGGAAGAGGAAAAAGAAAAAATAAGAGGGAAAGAGAGATACAAAGACAGAGAAAGAGAAAGAGGTAAAGAGGTAAATCTCCAACCCGGTGGGGGAAAATTTAAATTCCAGTCCGGCTAGCTATGCCCCGACTCACAGCAGAAGTGGTCAGAGATTTTCCCGAAGATAATTATAAAGAATAATCTTTACCGAACAGAGAGAGAGTTCTGTCGAAAGTAAGTGTGAAAGATCATTATAATTACTGCAAATGACCCGAAAACGATTGTGCAAAGCGTAATCGGTTGTGCATCTAGCCAATATGAACGGCAAATAATTCCTTGTTGGTCTACAAGGAACTGAAAAATTAAGGCGACCTAAGAGGGCAGAGGAGTCAACCTCACCGATAACTAACTTGTGGAGAAAAACTATTCCAAGAACAGTCCTACGATTTTCTAAAGATGGAAGGTTTATAAGTAATAGTCTACTTGAATACGATGGCATCAAAACATTAGGATCCCAGTTAAGTCCGCGTAAAGCAAAAAGCAAGAATTGCTTCTGAACAGATTCAATACGCTCCTGATACTTTCTATACTGTGGACACCAGACACAAGAACAGTATTCAAGCACAGGGCGTACTAGAGACGTGTACAGAAGTTTGGTAGTATAAGGATCAGTAAATTCCTTGGACCATCGTTTAATGAATCCAAGTACACCCTTAGCTTTATTTACAATGCTAGAAATGTGAAGATTGAAGTTCAATTTGGAATCAAAAAGAACCCCAAGGTCTTCAACAGTCGATATACGCTGCAATGGCACATTGTCAATCGTATATGTGACTAAGAGGGGCAAAGTTCGATGAAAGGTCATGAACTTACATTTAGAGCAATTGAGGTACAAGCGGTTTACTATGCACCAAGATTGCATGCAGTTCAGATCATCCTGCAGGCGTTGAAAATGAAGAGGGTTTTTGTAAGATAGAATAAGTTTCACATCATCAGCATACATAAGTATATAAGAGTGTGACAAGATAGAGGGGAGATCATTAATAAATAATGTAAAAAGTAAAGGGCCAAGATGACTACCTTGAGGCACACCTGATGATGCATAAACGGGCTTAGAGATATGCGACCTGAGCAAAATTCGTTGGGTCCTGTTTTTTAAATAGGACGAAATCCAACGCAACAAATCGGAAGGAAATCCTATGCGGCTAAGCTTAAAGAGCAGAAGGTCATGGTTAACAGAGTCAAATGCTTTACTGAAGTCAGTGTAAACGACATCAGTCTGCATTTTTAGAATAAATGCCTCATTTACCAAAGAAGTAAATTCCAGCAAATTGGTCGTAGTAGACCGTCTCTTAATAAAACCATGTTGAGCAGGAGATATGACAGATTTGCAGAGATGCTGCAAAGTGCCGCAAACTATTTTTTCAAATAATTTTGGTATAGCGGACAACTTTGCAATACCTCTGTAATTCGAAATATCAGACTTACCACCCTTTTTATACCCTGTACCCGTAGGGTAAAAAGGGTATATTAGGTTTGTGCAAAGTATGTAACATGCAGAAGGAAGCATCTCCGACCCCATAAAGTATATATATTCTGAATCAGCATGACGAGAGAAATCGATCTAGACATGTCCGTCCGTCTGTCCGTCCGTCTGTCCGTCCGTCTGGATGAACGCGAGGATCTCAGAAACTATAAAAGCTAGAATAACCAATGTTGGCATCCAGATTCTCCTAGGTCCGAGAAAGGACGAGTTTATTTTTTTTTGGAATTTTCCCCCCCTTCCCCCGCTACAGAATTTCGTCAATAGCGTCCACATTTCAAATGCTACCTAAACCAAACTTTGCACACATAATTTATATGTAA